CAAACACATGCTTAAGTACTTTGCTGGATGAGGATGGATTTATGTGTATGGTTTACATTAACAAGTATTTTAATGCTTTGCTGTACCAGACCCTATGTGCTATCCTGGTAGGGAGACAAATTTTATGATCTAAAGATTTCTTTTCCATATCCATATGCAACTATAATCTTATTATTGATCAAATGTGCAATAGAAAATAAAAATCCCTATCTTCCTCTATTCCATCTCTATTTTATCTTTTTTGCCTTACAGTAGTGTGACACTAATTATATACATTCATGTATGTAACGGTTCAACAAAGACCTCAGTCTGCTTTACAAAAGGTAAGTTACGCATATTCAAAGTGTGATAGATGTTAAAGCCAGAAGGAACATTAGACCATCTACTCTAGCCTTCTATGTATCAAAACAATTAAATGTCATGAGTCATTCTGCACAATATGCCCAATAATTTGAATTAAACTAAAGCATTTCAGTCCTCAGGAGACTAACTTTTCTGTGACTTGATTACAGTGAGATATGTCCAGATGATCCTAGCAAGCAATTCATGCTCAGTGCTGCACAGGAAGGTGAAAACTTCCCTGACTTTGAAAGAAATTCTTTCCTGACCTCCCTCAGATCTGGCCAGCAGTTTGACCGTGAGCATGTAAGCACCCAAGTATCTGCAAAAGAAGATTCTCCACTTCAGCGCGGGGGGTGCAGACACCTGCTTGGAGTGGAGCCCTTTCAAAAAGGGAACATTTCACATAGGCAGCAGCTGGTACCTTTTAATTGTTGTGTGTGAAGAGCGAGAATGATTCAAATATAATAAACCCACTCCAACTTTAATCCTAGCTGAAGAAGTGTTAAAGTTGGAGTAGGGTTTGTTGCATTTGATTTGTTCTCAGCTCATTCACACATAATGATTAGAACATACCAGCCAGTGCCTTTGTAAAATTTTCCTTTTTGAAAGGGCTCCAAGCACTCCTGTGTCCACACCCTAATCAGTGTTGCTTCCCACTGTCCAGTCCCTGTCACCAGCTGCAGCCAGTTCCTGATGCATGAAAAAAATGGGTGGTGGGAAGAAAAACAGAATATATCTGGACAATTGTGCATTAAGGAAAAAAATCTTCCTGACCCCTGAACGTGACAGGCTGGAGGTGGGAAGCACAAGATTCAATAATGTGCATTGTCTGAATGCAGAGTTGCAAGCATTATGACCATGGTGAGGGCAACAAAGAGCTTCCTGTCCCCTCCATAGCTTATGAAGGCAGGGAATGAGCAGGGGGATGCACTAATTCACAGACTCCAAACTGCTGTGGCCCCTACCCTACACTCCTGACTATAACATTTCCCCAGGGAACTTAATTAAAGCATGATTTGTAGAAAAAATATCTAATCTTGCATTAAACACGCTGAACAATGGGCAAGTCTACTGCCTCCTGGGGACAATCTTCCAGTATATGATTGTTAGCCTCACTGCTAGGCAGTTACATCTACTTTAGGGATGAATTTGACTACCTTAAATGGAAAGCAGGGTAGATTTGCACCTTACAGCCACTGGTTTTTGCTACGTCTTTGTCAGAAAGATTGAAAAACTCCCCATTATCCACATACCTGTTTTCCACATGTGAGCACCGATGTACAGAGAAGCCATATCTCAATCTTCATTCATTAAACTGAAGAGGTTTTGCTCCTTAAATTTACTATAATAACGGTTTGTTTTGCAGGCAAGGCATCACTTTTCTGGCTCTTCTTTGAACTCTGTCCAATATTTTCTACATTCGTCCTGAAGTGTGGACACGAAAACCAAACACAATATTTAAATAATGGTCTTAGTAATACGTAAAAGACAAAGTCACTTTCCTAATTCTCTTTGATATTCATCTTTTTATGCATTCAGAATGCATTGCAGTAGATGTTAAAGCAGAGCACTGCAATGAGAGCTCACGTTCAGGCAATTACTGCTAGTGGCCCTGTAAATCCCCTTTTTTATTATCGCCATTTTATTTATGGGGAAACTTAGGTATAAATATTGATTGATCTCAAGCCCTTTCAGACCCAACGTCTCACATTGATTTAAATGGAGTATCTAACCAGAAGGGGTGCAGGACTAGGATCAATTTTCTTGACTGCCAGTCCACTGTTGTTTTTCAGAAACATGAGATCAGTCTCCAGAATTAGATAACACAAAAGAACTTCCATTATGTGGGATTTCTGAGGGTAGAAGCGGACATCACCTGACATCACATCTGTGCCACCATAAACATTTTCATGGCAGTACAAATGGTGAGCAAATAGATGTCCCTACCCCTTGTCGTGCCACTGATGTGATGCAACAGAAGGCAGTGTTAAATAGTGCCGTTTTACTGCAGTGGGTTTCTGCTCTGTGGCAGGAGAGTATGGGCAGTCTGAAGCTGCCCGCACTCTCCAGCCACCCTGCGCAGATGGCTCTGGGCACTTGGGGGGCTCGATTCTGTGCACTGTGGGAATTCCCACATAGGGTTGAGCCCCTGTAGCTCAGAGAGCACCTTCCCAGCTTTCCCCACTTTTATAAGTATGTGCGCCCTAGGGGGGCCTCTGTAAATGGAGAAAGTCAGGGTTCCCCACTTATGAAAACCAGCTCCAGGATACAAGGACACATCCCCATAAGGGGGGAAAGCCATGTGGGTCCCTTCATGGAGGTACAGAAATCCCTGGTGCCCATGCCTCCACATGGCCCACACTGGGACCCACGCCACCTCCCACGCTGACCTGTGCTTCACAGTGAGGCATGGGTTGGCACAGGTCTGACAAGGAGGCACAGGGTGGTGTGGGACCTGGGGAATTCCCAGTGTCCTGTGCTTCCATACTGGGACCTACACAGGTTCTGTGTGAATCATGGGTCAATGCTGGGACCCAACACAGGTCCCAGCATTGAGGTACATGGTGCTGGAAAGTCTACGAGTTCCCCACCACCGTGCACCTCCTTGCCGGGACTCACACCAACCCCTACTTCATGCAGAGGCAGGCATCAATGTGGGCCATGGCACAGAGGCATGGGGCACTGAGGTTGCCCCAGGGCCCATACTGCCCTGCACCTCTGTATTACCCTGTACTGGGACCCATGCTAATACTTGTTTCTGTGTGAGGCACACAAGGAGGCATGGGACAGTGGGGGATGCAGGGAATCCCTAGCCAAGAGGAACAGGTGGCCCACTGTCCACCATCAGGCAGAGGCCTAATGTGGGACAATGGGAGATGTGTTTTGCCCTGTAAAGTAGATCAGCTGTAGAGGGAAGTGTCCTGCCACAGCTTGATCCGCTTTGTTTGGTGAGGTCTGCTTTTACTCTAAGAGAATAAGGAGCTATTTCTTTGTTTTTATCTGTTCTTCATTTACTGTTGTCCATCTAGACCCCAACCAGAAATTCCTCTGAAACAGACTGGAGAATATTTGGTAGAATGAAAACCAGGAATTATGATTATATTATTCAGTTAACTCTAGCAAGGCTGAGATCCTGCAATGAGCAGAGGACTTTAACCCCAGTCTAACAAAGCACTAATGCATGTACTTAAAGCATAGGAGTGAGCTGATTGACCTCAACACTGAAAGAGAAGTATATGCTCAAGTACTTTTGTGAATGGAGGCTTGTCAGCTGAAAAGGATAAAGTATTACTACAATATTATTTTGCTGGAATAAGAGGATGTCAGCCTGTTACATTTATTGAAAAAGTAACATACTATCTAACCAACTTTAAAGTATATTGATAATACATGGGAATTGGATAGGATCTTATAACTTATTAGTGGGAATATTTAGTTTTAATATCAAAAGGAGCAGGAGAACTTTATTCAGTTTAAAGGGAAATTAGTTTACCATCTTTATTTGCACTGAGTAGCACCTTAATCTGCAAATTTGAATTGAATGATACTGTGTGGGCAGTAATGTGCTGAACACAGTGACCAAAGGAGTCAAAATCTGATCCAGTTTGGATCATAAATTCTATGCCTCTCATTGCATGCTTGTGCATCATCTGATGGGGCTCTGTTCCTTAGGCTCTAAAACATAATAATAATAATACTTATTGTCATTAGTATTAGGGCTGTCAATTAATTGCCATTAATGTGTGCGATTAACACAAGAACCAATTAACACGTTAATTTTTTTAATGCACTAATCACACACGTAGTTTTGGAGCCTGCACCTGAGCTGCCCTGCCCCGCTGCTATCCCTGCTGCCTCCAGGCCATGCAGCAGGGCAGCAGTGGCAGTGCAAGGGTGCTGTAGGGCATCCTGGGCGAGGGCTCTGGGTGGCTGTAGCAGGAAGAGTGGGGAGGGAGGATGCACCTGTGTATCCACCCAGGGCCCCGAATAGCCAGGCTGGCAGTGCTGGGGATTTGGGAAAGACAGCAATGAGCTGCAGAGGGGCTACCTGACATCCTCAGGTCCCACAGCTATATGGGCCTCAGGCTTGGGCTTGGGGTGGGGTGGGCACGACTTGGGCTCCATCAACACTGGGTTGGGGCCGGGCCCATCCAGGGCCCCAAGCAGTTGGGCTGACAGCACTGGGGGTTTGGGGAAGGTGGCGCTGGGCTCCGGTGGGGCTGCCTGGCATCCTTGGGTCTGGGGCAGGCCAGGACTGCCTGAGACCTGCTGAGCAAGTGGGGAAGTTTGGGCTAGGGCTTGGGGTGCCTGCAGCTGCCACTGCTGGGGCAAGGGCAGGGTGAGTCCATGGCCGCTGAGATTGTGCTCAGGGGGCATGCCCTGGGCCCAGGGCAGCTCCGTGGAGACCCCGCTCAGATTGGGCATCATGGGGCCACCTGCCAGGGCATGCAGGGGGTCTCCCCTCCCCTGGCTCCAAACCCCCCCCCATACATCCACAGCCCCCCACACCTTCACAATTTCCCCCTCCACACACACACACACACACACACACACACTCACCCTGCAACCATACAAAGTACCTGCATAATTTTGCATAGTTTTGAGTTTTTCTGCGCATAGTTTTGAGTTTTTAGCTGTGTGTTTAAAATCCCGATTAATTGCGACTAATTTTTTTAATCATGCAACTAATCGCGATCAATTTTTTTAATCGTTTGACAGCCCTATTATTATTATTATTATTATATAATCATCATTGTCATTATTATGTACTGTGAAGGTTGCCAGTAGAGAGCTTCGCAGTTTGTTTCTCTAAGTGTTCTGTTTAGAAGACAACCCTCGCTGATGGAGAAAATAAGTTGATGAGAACAGAAGAAGCTATATGCTCTGGGCCAAATTCTGTCTCGAGTTTACCCCATGTCACCCCAGCAAGCGCCTTTGCCTTTGGAATGCACTTTCTATATCAGCAGGTTCCATTTTTAGATACTCATCTTCAGCGTCTGAGCCTTCTTCGTGTGCAAAGCATAGCTGGAAATCTCATAAGGACATAGTCTCTTGTGAAATATTTGGTACTTTCCTCTACTGTCTGGACAGAAATACAATGAGAATAACCTCTGCCTGCATCAGCCTTTTTGTTTCTGATCACAACTGAAGCCTGTGGAAGACAAAAAAAAAGAGGAACACAGATAAACAGTTAAATAATGTTTTTTGAACCTTAAAAAAACTTCAGTTGAGTTTGGGATAAAAATCCACAACAGTCTTAATTTAGCCAAACTGCTTTACATAGATTTCAGTCCAAAAAAGGACCATTGTAATCATCCAGTCTGACTTGCAAACCACAGTCCACAGAACCTCACCCAGTAATTTCCATACTCTGGATCCATAACTTTAGTTTGAGCTACACCATATTGTATATCATCATTCAGTTTTTGCCATGTCTTCTTGTATTATTAAGCAGTCAAGCTACAAATCACCATTGACAGCTTCTGGCTTTGCCATTTATTTGCCACTATGTTTGTTAAAGGAAAACATAAACACTTCTTATAAAAATATATAGCACCTAGAAACCCCATTTTCACAAAGTTAGTTTAATTCTGATTTTGATATGCTGCTGGCACTGCTTATGTTCTCCAAAAAAAAGAGGCATATTAAAGGCAACAGTCCAGTACTAGATTCCGTATTCTTTGGCATTTTTAAGGTAGATAGCCAAAAACCTCTTACATTATATAAAACAATGTGCATGGCTACATTTCAAGAAACACTTCGAAAATTATGGGGAAGCTGTTTAATCTTCTCATTTTAAGCTAATCATTGTATATCAATAACTAAAAAAGTGTTATGTGGTATGTACACTGGCAGCTTTACTCTTTGCTCCCTTTGTTCTCTTTCCTGTTCCTTTACATTTTTAATAACCCTGCCTATGTACAGAGGCAGCAGCATTTCAGCAAGGAGGCACACACCCTGTACTCTTTCCTGGAAACTTCATTTTTTATTGTTTTTTATTGCTTGTCAATCAGAAATGAGACCACTGGGAGAGGTGGCCATCTTTCACATGCACAGCTTTCCTATTACACCTTGCTTTCAAGTAAAAACTTGGAAATCCCGTTAAAAAAACCCTCAAGTATAAAATATGAAAAAGGGGGAAGGAAAATGGTGGCTCCAGCATCTCTTCCCACCTTGTTGTTTGGGATTTAAATGTAATTGTAGTACGTGTCTTTTTTGGCCCGTGGAGGCATTTTTTTGACCGTTTGCACAGAAGCCAACACTCATTGAGTTGAAACATAAAGACCAGATGTCACCTCTCAGCAGCTCTATAGTTTCACAGCTGAGGTTTAGGTCTGCATTGTTTGCCAATAGCTAGCACCAACTGAAAGTTTTTCCCCACCAGTCAAAAGTAAACGGGCTTTTATAGGATCACAGCATCAAGATCGGGGTGGAGAGGGGACGGCACTGTTTATAGTAACTGTGGTAGTTTGGTTTACCCTGTATGAACAGTTATTTTGAGTCTATAATACAGAATCAGCTGAAATATGACCTTTACTAAGAAAAAGACAAAAGGCTGCACAGCAGCAACTTAGTTAAGTAAAACATATGTGGAAACTACATCCTGAGACGCCTACCAGCCTACATTTTGGCTTCCCCGCAAGGTCGTTAAAATGGTCATGAGGGATTTTGACCACTTAAGTTCTTCCAGGAACTGTACAAATTGTTCTAAATTTTCAGTTCATAGAATGCTTGTTCCTTGGCTCACTGAAATGGTTCCCAAGTTCATTTCTACTTTAAACCTGTTCTTTCCTAGAAATCCCAAATGACTGTATGGTTACAAAAACTAACCAGCTCGGTGATAATTAAGTTGTCATGATATACAGCAAATTCAGCTTTCTGCAGCTGTATCTGGGTGAAAAAGACTGATATAAGCAAAGATTACAACAACAAAAAAGTAATAGAAATAGATTCTAAAACTTTCCTGGTGGGGGAAGGCACCAGCTGACTTCTCCAGGAGGATTAAGGATTTGTGCAGGACCTCACTACAGAAACAGCAATGGGTTTGACCTCAGAGGGCAGGAGGAAATCAGAAAGACAAAGATGCTAAGGAAGAGGTCAGTCTACTTGATCTCAGTGAAAGAGGTCGAACTCTAAAACGAGTTCACAATAATTGCTTCCTCCATAGATGGGAAGGTACGGAAAAACTGGAAAGCCAGCAACAGGGGACATACATCCCTCGAGTCTGGAGTCATGCTTTCTGCACAGCAGAGGTGCAACACTGAAAACGGCAATGAGGATTCCCTCACCTGTCTTGGCGCAAGCATGGAGAAAGGGGCTGCCCCTCCAGGACAGTCAGCCACTCAGTCTTTAGGTCGTTCAATCCCAGCATGATGTTGAGGAATAAGCAGTTGCTGCATACAATGGGCTAACTCCTTTGCAGCACAGCTGGGCAAGGAGGGGGATAGAGAGGAATATGGACTGAAGGCCAATGTGTCAGTCAATGCCACTTAGTCAAAACAGTCACTAGTAATACCAGACCAGTGGCAACAACACTTCCTTGAATGAGGAGGAAGCAGGGAGCAAATTGTGCCTCCGAGAATCGTTGCTGAGTAACACCACCTTTGGGAACGACTTCTGGAGTGCCGCATCTTCTGGAGGTCCCCCCGGGCACTGTGCCTGGAGGCACAATCTAGTCTTACGGATATACTGGGACTGTGCTTTTAGTGGACAATTGGAAAACCAGCACATTAAAAAGCACCCAGTCAAGGCCGAGGGAAATATTTTTCCTAACGAATGATTACATACTGTAAATTACTTCATCAGTCTCTTGGTTATTAAAAATTGATTTCCTCCTGCGTTTTTTTTGCCACAGACTTTATCCTGAATTGTTTATACTCCATAAATATTTACGATCTTCAGGGGAAAAAAAAGAAGTATGTTAAAATCTTTAAGCTTGGCATTCCTCAGAAGCCAAGGATCTATGAGCAGTTTGTACCTTTTGAGTAATTGCACTGACAACTGCATTTTTAGGGTCTTCTGGGGCTTTTTATGACTCAAGAAAAGTGTCCTAATCCTGGGTGAAAGCCACAAAGGACGTGGTAGAAACCTACTCATGAATTCCTTGCACACCCACTAACTCCTCTGGGAGACTTGGGTAGGCAAGGAACTCAAGATCAGTCCTCAGAGAAACAGCCTGAGTCAAATCCTGTTCAGCCATTTCCAGTGCATCCATCAGTGAATTAACACTGGCATCAATGGGATGGTACAGGGCATAAGTCAGGACAGAATTTGCCCCTTTGCAGGTCAATAGCCCTGGTTCAGCTCTTAGGCTGGAAACAGCATTCAGCAAAAAAAAGAAAAAAAGAAAGAAAGAAAAGAAGAGGATGAAAAGCAAACCTGAGTGCCAGCCAAGCTGGAAACACTTATAAAAGCTGCAGGAGAAAGATCAGAATAAAAACGAGGTGGAGGGAAGCTTTCAAGGGACAATTTGCCCACAGAGCATTTGTGTACATCAGGCGTGGAGCCGTTCTTGAGCTGGACTTTGGCCAGATTTATCATCCTACTCTTTCAGGATTACAAGCACCTCATTGTACTTGGCTAACGGCAGTCACTGCTCAGTAACCCTTTGAGCTGTTGCTGAATGACTTAGGGAAGCGGATGTTCTGCCCACTGCAGCTCGTCACATTTTTGCCCCTCCAATGTGTAAAAGTGAAAGGCATCCTCAGTGTGAAGGCACTCTGTGATCTACCCTCTCTCCACTAGATGCTACACTGAGACCACCAAACATTTATTGAGCCAAATAACATGTTTGAAAAGTTAGCGCAGAATAAAGTAAATACAGGTTATCATACTGGTTTGTTTATGGTAGGACAGCACCACCGTCTGAATCAGAGTGACTCCTGATTTATAGCAGAGAAAAACCAGACCTGAGACTACAAGCTGTTGCTATTGTTCACATGGAGTCGTACCGTACAATGTCTCAGACGTGTGAAATGGTTTATCGAGACCATTTCACAATATCTGAAACCCACAGAGCAGACTATTGCTCAGTATCATGCGTTCCTCATTCATTTTTCCAATACACTTCATCTTACTGAACACACCAGGCATATCTAACTGGAAAAGCTGGACGTTCAAGAATCCCTTCAATGAAGCTTGTAGTTCATGGTTAACACTAAAATAATATTACAGCCAGGCATTATTTTCTCTGATGTTGTGCAATCTGTTGACAATGGCAATTGGGGAAATGCTACCCAGCACATCTCAGAAAGTCTGCCAGAGTCTTCCAGCCTGTAAGTGTTGTACATTGTGCAATACACTGGAGCAAAGTGAATAGGATAGGATTACTTTTCAGCCAACGCAGGCCAGACCAAGCATCTCTGCACAGGCTTTCTGGTATGACGAGCTGATCTGATAAATAAGTAAGACTTGCAGAGAGGCCCCAACTTAGGCAAAGCAAACCAATGTATAGTGGGCTTTTTTTGCCTGAGTTCTTCAGGCTGGCCTATGACAGCAGGTTGCTGACCCCAGCCAGAGTCATAGAGGTGCACTGTTCTGCGCAGTCTATCACATGTAATGTGGTGTGGGAGGGCGATCAACACAGAGCATGTTAAAGCACAACTGATACCACTTTCAGTGTCTCATGGACAAGTGACAAATGTACCGTAATTTGGTGATATTTAAATACATCTTGGTTGAAGTGTGAGGTCAGCCTCCTCTCTAGAAAAAAAAGACATCCGTTCCTTTCTAACACTGCTATTGCCTTGGTCTTATTCTCAGGTTTTTTTAACATGCCCATGTGCATGCAACCTGGGACAAGGACTGGACTAGTAAGCAATGCCCTGCTAAAGATAAATGGAGCATTAGCTGAGCAAAGAGTACTCCATTTACTGGTTAGGGACCAGATCCTCAGCTGGTGCAAATTTAGCATAGCTCCATTGACGTCAGCAGAACTGTGATTTATACCAGCTGCAGACTTAGGCCAGATGTTCAGCAAATTGCCATTGGACCCTGGCTTCCTACTGACTATACCCAACAGGGGGTCATCATCAACTTAATGTGACAAAGATTTGGAGTCAGGGAGCAGATAAAAAAACCCTCCCTTTCCTTTGAATAGCTACCATAAAGTTCAGGCCAGTGACAAGTTATAGCTTTACCCTGAGCTCTGGCCTTTCTCTGCTCTGGTTCAGGCCACAGTGTTCATTTTGGCAGCATCCCACTTGCTTAATACAGCCCTGTGGCAGGTGCGGGAGACTTCTGCAGGGTCAGGAGAAAAGGCAGCAGATTCAGAACTCCTGGCAGTTTGATTTAGAAAGAAACCTACATCCTTTATGGCTGAGTGCATTCAAGAGGTAGCATTAAAAATAACCTAGTCTATTGATTATTTACCTGGGTCACTACCTCTACGCATAAAGCCAAAGCGGGGCACTGAAGTGGGTTGTTATTCCCTGTTCATCCGAACAAAAGGGCATGACTTGAGTAAAATGGAGTTAGCTTCATAATGATCTGTGGAAATCAGGAAGCTGCCATTTGCAGGAGGATTGGATGCCTCAGGGGAATGGTAAATGGCATGCAGAGCCTTTAATCTCTAGCTGACTGGTTCAGCTTCAGTCCAGGTCAGTGCTGACTAGAAGCTCTTACACCGAGGTCAGCTCAGTGGCCTGTATGAATGAGCTTAGTGATTTAGTCCTACGGCCAGCGGACACGGCATCCACATCACACAACCCCACCAGAACCAGCGCTAACCAGCAATGCTTTTGGCAGTCCCTGCAGAGCTGCCACAGTCTCGCTAGACCGGACGCACTGAAACTCCTCCGGAGAAACCAATTCCATGCTTAATATTGGCATGGTCAATACACCAGGTCTTTTAAAACTGTAGTTACAAATGGTGATGATGTAACTCAGTCAGTCTTACCTCGATCCTGGGCAAGCTGTTTGAGAAAATTATTCTGGCACACATCCAGGAGGGGCCAGCAGGGAACGGCATGCTCAGGGGCAACCAGCACGGGTTCATCAGCGGCAGGTCCTGTCAGACCAACCTGGTGGCCTTTTATGACCAGGTCACTAAATCATTGGATGCAGGGGTGGCAGTGGATATAGTTTTCCT